AACAGTCTAGGTGGTAAACTGGGCCACTAAGACAGGTACTACAACATGTATAGGAATACAGCTTCCCTTGCGGGGAGAGGAAAACATACTTCAACACTTAAAAGTTTTAGCAAAGAACAGTTTTGCAAGAAAACTCAAAGATCGGGAAGGAAGCTACACCAGATGGGCAGTCCCCCTTTCTCACTTTAAGTTCAACTGGTCCAGCCACTCTGCTCATCAAGACATCATCATCTATAGTTTGTTGCAAATCTTGAGGTGTCCTAGATTTTGTTTCAATAAAAGAATCTCTTCCATTATAGACTGAAACATGGATCACCATGGTTATTTAAAAGAGGTAGATACAAGTAAGCAAAACAGACTGCTGAAGTTTGTCATATTATTTACGGGGCAAGCAGACGCTTGTGTACAGATCACCTAACTGAAGAGTCATATGTCCGTCCCTCGACCCTGTGTTCTTGCAAAAACTAAAGGTATACTTTTCCTTTTTAAAGAAATACTCTACTTCCAAACAAGGACCTAATACAATTGATGCTGTACTTGGGCACATAAAAGTACTACATCTCCTTGCAGTTAACCTCCTTGCTTGAGTCAAATTATTTTTTGTATTAGCCAATATAAAACATAATTAGGATAGTGAGTTTGCTGCCAAAGAAACTAAGTAAGTCGTGTTACTAAAAATAAGTGATTTAAAGTTATTCACTGATTTGAATTATCTTAGCAACTGTTCTTTCAGTAACATAAAAAATTACAAGTTAACTATATCCTAAAATAGAAATCACTGAAACTGCATCTCTGATTTTCTTCCAATACTTATATAAGGAAGCACAACACTGAATTTCATAAACGGGATTATTATATTTTGAAACTGTAAACTAAATTACCAGATGAGCATTTCTCAAATCGTTCCATGGAATGTTAATGTTCTTTGAGATTTTTCTAAGTGTTCCCAAAGAAAAAGAATATTATGGTCAAATACATTTCAAAATGCTGGGTTAAAGTTAAAACAAGTGTTGTTTTATAACAGATCTGAGAGACACTTTCATTCACCAAATAATTTACTAAATGCCACCATATACCAGGCACTTATCTGGGTTTGGCGGTTACAACAGTGAACATGATAAATAAAATGCCTGCTCTCATGAAGCATTCTTTCTAGTGGACAGGACAGTCAATTAACAAAAAAGCAAATAAATACAATACAGTAAAAGGGCTATGAAGACACAAAAATGGGGTAAGAGAGGGCAGAAGAAACTTCTCTCTGGATGGACACACTAAGCTTACAGAGCTAATGTTTTTTGTTTTTCTACATTGGGGAATACAGTACACAGAATTTCCTAAACACAGGTTGATCAGGAACACTTCTGTCAATGAACATCTATTAATTCTATTAATAGCTCATCAAATCAATTCAAGAAGTGCTCTTCTAACCAATATGCAGACAACAGCAGGATCAAGACTCAAATATAGCTCTTCTGATCCTAAATACAGTGTTTTTATATCTTCTTCCTCTATAAAAGCAGAAATAATAATAGTACATATCTCAGAATTATCATGAAAATTATAATGTAGCTAATTCATGTAAAACATCTGACACAGGGGGGCGCCTGGGTGGCTCAGTTGGTTAAGCGACTGCCTTCGGCTCAGGTCATGATCCTGGAGTCCCGGGATCGAGTCCCGCATCAGGCTCCCTGCTCAGCAGGGAGTCTGCTTCTCCCTCTGACCCTTTTCCCTCTCGTGCTCTCTCTCATTCTCTCTCTCAAATAAATAAATAAATAAGTCTTTAAAAAAAAAAAAACAAACAAAAAATAAAACATCTGACACAGGGTTTGGTATACACTCTGCTCAACAAATGTTGTAGTTACTATTAATATAGTTACTATGCACATGTCTTCCTCTGTTATCCCAAGGCGACTAATATTGCCTTCTTTTAATATCTTTTTTTTTTTTTAAGATTTTATTTATTTATTTGACAGAGAGAGACACAGCAAGAGAGGGAACACAAGCAGGGGGAGTGGGAGAGGGAGAAGCAAGCTTCCCATGGAGCGGAAAGCCCGATGCGGGGCTCGATCCCAGGACCCTGGGATCATGACCTGAGCCGAAGGCAGACGCTTAACAACTGAGCCACCCAGGCGCCCCTTCTTTTAATATCTTGAACACTTTATTTCTATCGCTTTTACAGGACTTAATTAATTTTGTTTACTCCTCTATATGGTAGATTTCTTAAAGACAGCAACCCAATCAGAGACTGTACATGGCTAAGCCACAATGAAAGCCTACTATATAGTTGTGTACACAATATCCAAAGTGAGTTAAATGTGCATGTGAAAAAAAAAAACCTTATGTAAAAAAGCAATCTTCCCTCAGGGAAACACGAACCATATTACAGCAAGACTTCCATTAAACATCTTCATAATTATACATTTTACCTATTCAAAATACTTTAATAAATTAACATCACCAGTAATGGGTCATATTCTTCCTGATAAGATGTATTAAGATACCATTTCATTTCTTTGATACTCCTACTAGAAATGCATAACCAGAATTTTATCAAGAAAAAACATGAGACAAACCCAAACTGAAAAACATTCTACAAAATTAATGACCTGAACTCTTCAAAAATGTTAAAATAAAAAAATGTTAAAATCATAAAAGATAAAGAGTGAAAATCTGTTCCTAATTACAGGAAGCTAAAGAGACATAACAACTAAATTTAACAAATGATCCTGGACTGGATCCTGAACTAACAAATTTTGTTGTTGCTGTTATAAAGGACATTAGTGGAACAATTGGCAAAACTGAGTAAGAACTGTAGATTAAATAACAAACCTGTATCAATGTGAATTTCCTGATTTTGATCATCATATGGCAGTCATATAAGACAATTTCATTGCTTTTAGGAAATTCATACTGTAGTATTTATCAGTAAAGAAGCATTATATCTACAATTTAATCTCAATTTAATCCCTTTAATCTAAAGGGTTCAGAAAAATACATGGATAAATAGAGAGAAAGAAATAAAATCATAAAGTGAACACAGCAAAAGAACAAGATTTGGGGGAAAAGTATATAAGAGTCCTTTGTACTGTGAGAACATTTCCAAAAGTCTGAAATTGTTTCAAAACAAAATGTCTAAATACAAAAGTAATGGGTGACAAAAAGGAAAGATGGCAAATAATCACATGAGAAGATGCTCAACATCATTAGCAACCAGGAAAAGTACAAACTAAAACCACAATGAGATGTCACTAAAAGCAAAAAAGAAAAACTTGTCAATACTAACTGTTGGTGAGCATGTGGGGCAACTGAAGCTTTCAAACATTACTGGAGGGATAGAATACAAACTATATAGTCACTTTGTAAGAAATTTCTGAACTGTTTTCCAAAGTTAAACACACACACACCAGAAGACCCAACAATCCTAGGTATTAATCTAAGAAAAATTAAAACTTATATTCAAACAAATCCTGCATGCAAATGTTTGTAGCAATTTATTCATAATCACCAAATATTGAAAACAACTCAAATGTCTATCAACTGGTAAATGGATAAACTGTGGTACACTTATATAATGGAATTCTACTTAGCAACAAAAGGAATGAATTCTTTTTTTTTTTTTTAAAGGTTTTATTTATTTATTTGAGAGAGAGAATGAGAGACAGAGAGAGCACATGAGAGGGGGGAGGGTCAGAGGAAGAAGCAGACTCCCTGCTGAGCAGGGAGCCCGATGTGGGACTCGATTCCAGGACTCCAGGATCATGACCTGAGCCGAAGGCAGTCGCTTAACCAACTGAGCCACCCAGGCGCCCCCAAAAGGAATGAATTCTTGATAACAAAACAACATCTATGAATCTCTAAAGCATTATGCTAAATGAAAGAAGTCAGCCTCAAAGGTTATATGTTGTATTATTCTATATATATTTATGATATTCTGCAAAAAAGCAAAATACGGGGAGGAAAATAGATCAGCGGTTGTTAGGGGTAAAGTTTCGGGGGAGGTTGATTAAAAATAGGCAGCCTGAAATAAAAATAGGCAGCATGATAGAATTTGGGGGGGTGGGAGATGTTGGGACTGTTCTGTGTCTTAACTATTACTGTCATTACACAATTTTATGCACACATCAAAACTCATAGAACTATATACTAAAAAGAATGACTTTTACTATATATAAATTTTAAGTATACATTATGCTCAAAAGAAATAAAGTACTTTCATAGGCACCTCATTTTATTCTCAGTCCAATAAAAACTATGTAGGTACTATACTCTCATTTTACAAGCAAGGAAACTAAACTACAGCAAATAAATGTACATACAAATTACATATGGTAGGGCAAAAATTGTAGTCTAGATACACTGATTCTACATAAATATTTTATTCTCTTAATTTTCTCATGTTCTACTAAACTTTATGGGCCACAATGTCCCTAACGACAAATAGGATCAAAGGGAGGAAAAACAGGATCAAAGAGAGGGAGGGAAGAAAAAGTGTGCCCTTTAGAATTTGACCTTTAGTCCTTAAGGAATTAAAAATAATCCATAACTGAAGAAGTCTGAATAGTGATCTATATATAGGCAACAAATTAACTGGCATTAAAGGACTAGCTGGTGATTTCTTCCATAAAACCTCAATTTCTTAATACAAAGAAAAAGCAAAAGCAAACAAAACATTCACAGGTAACCTTGTAACCATTGCTACAATTTAAGCTATCCAAAGTCTTCAGAACAATATTGAGAACAATGATGGTGACTACAATTCAGAACAGATTTTACAACTTTAAATAAAGGTTTAAAAATATTTCCAAGATGCTATCACCCAAGGGTGGAAAACAACAGGGATACCTTTTCAGTTTCAGAATCAAAGAAGTGGCAATATAATTTTTGCAAAGGAAAATACTGTAAGTACAACAGCTTGGGGGTAAATTAAGTTTAGTTTCTTTAACAAAAAAATAAATAAAAAATAAAAAAGTTACGTCTGTACCAAAAATAGCATACTTCACCTAAAAACAGTGGCGTGGTTTCCTCTAGAGTAGTTGCATTAGGATCTGCCCCAGCTTCTAAAAGAATCTGTACAATCTTCCAATGTCCTTGACTTGCAGCAAGATGTAATGCACAGAAGCCCTCAAAAGTCTTTGTCTTAATGTAGTTTTCAGACGAATCTATGTAAAAAAAAAAAAACTGAACTGGAAGATATTGCTGCTATTTCTTGTGATTAAAAAGCAAAGATTCCAAGAAGAATTTAATGAAATATTAAAATACAATTATAAATGGGAGGTGTGTGTTTAAAACCACCTAGAAAATTAAAAAAAGAATTCTACAGGGGCCATGATGTAAAAAGTTCTCTGGTATTCTTAACATACAAATTCTGCCCACACACTCATTTTCTGTTCTCTAATTTTTCTTGGGTAGGGAAGGGGAGTGGCAGGAGTTGAAAGGTAACACAAAAGCAAGAACTGAAGAGGATGTAGCACCAAATATTTACTCAAGCAAGATTTACTGAAATATTGATAAATTTGATTTTTTTAATTTCTACGTTTCTATGAGAGAAATGGTCTCATCTCAAGCATTACTTCCTTGTACTCAACTAATAACATGAAGGTAGTTCATATCACAAAAAGTGTTTCCCAGATTAGTCAGAAACTGACCTTTATTCAGATATCCACAAAACTATAAGGTTGAGACAAAAACTAGGAACACACAGATATATATAGATACACAGACAGCTCCAAATGGGAAATCTCAGTATTATAAAGATGCTCATTCTTCCCAAAATAATTAACAAATTTATTATAACTCTAATCAAAATGCCAAAAGAGCGGGCATTGTTGTTTGGTTGGCTGGTTTTATACTTGGTAAAGTGACTGAAGTTGACAGGGATAGGGGAGGGCAGGTAAGAATAACAAAGTAAGAAAAATAAAGAAAGCAAGAACTGAGAGGAGACTAGACTTACTCTGTATACTAAACTGGATCTTAAAGTCAGAATAAGTAAAACAATGTGGCATTGACACAAGGGCAGAGGAGGGTGCTGATGAGGGAGAGGAGGAGCCATCAGAAGCAAAAAGAGATGAAGAGACGATGGCTGAAAGGTAGCCAACCTATGTCAATGTTGTGTCAGATGCTGAAGAACTTTCTTTTGGAAAAGAAGGATGTTCTCTTCCACTGAGAAAGAAGAAAAAGAGATAAGGCTTAATCCTAGCCATTTAAAAATCTCAGGATAGAATGGGGACTGTGACAAAAGCATCTAAGTGGATTACAAATGGATGACACTCTAGAAAATGGTTTCATTGTGACTAGAAACTGTAAGGCTAAAGGTAAAAGGAATTGTACATACACACTGTGTATGTACACAGTGTGTATGTACAATTAGTCTAGTTAGTAAAGTTGTTTTTCACAGGCACCTGAGTGGCTCAGTTGTTAAGCAACTGCCTTCGGCTCAGGTCATGATCCTGGAGTCCCAGGATCAAGTACCGCATCGGGCTCCCTGCTCAGCGGGGAGTCTGCTTCTCCCTCTGACCCTCCCCCCTCTAATGCTCTCTCTATCTCATTCTCTCTCTCAAGTAAATAAATAAAAAAAAAATCTTAAAAAAAAAAGATTAACAATTCTGAAACCACTATACCTGTACAATAAGATTGGATAAGCAAATGAATGTATGGTCGACAGTGACAGTCTCATTTTTGGAAAGGGAGGTTACAGAGAAGTAAAGGTAGAAAGCTAGAAGGAACCATATGGTACTGGATTAGAATCCAGACATCAGTATGAACTTGTATTTAGCTTTAATGCAGATACAGATGGATAGATACAGAAATACTTATAAGTATGTGTATACACATGGGTCATAATAAATATATTTCCTAGCTCTGTCTGCTAAAGGGGCTTAAAAGTAAAGACATGCCAGTAGCCATAAGCATACTCAGTGCCCAGATCTTAATTTTGAGCACCATTCTCCAGTAAAAGGAACCAGGGCTCTTAAGAAAATGGCTGATTCTAGGGTTGGCACAAAGAATATACAAAATGAGCCTGAAGCATCTTCCGGGTTCAGCAAGTTAAAAAAAAGTGCTCAAAAAACAAAACATGGGGGTGGAGGGATGCCTGGCTGGCTCAGCTGGTTAAGCATCTGCCTTCAGCTCAGGTCATCTCAGGTCCCGGGATCAAGCCCCACGTTGGGCTCCCTGCTCAGAGGGGAGCCTGCTTCTCCCTCTCCCTCCACCTCTCCCCCTGCTTATGCTCTCTCTCTCTCAAATAAATAAATAATATCTTAAAAAAAAAAAAAGGCCAAAAAACATGGAGGCATGTCAAAGAAACACAAGAGCCAACCTGTAAGGGCACTCAATGACAAAAGCTAGAACAATTTGAGCAACAAAATAAGTAACATCATATTCAATTATAACCCAATGTATAAAATTAATACATATGAGCCCTGGCAGATATAAATGACTGAATAAATGGAAGAGAGGAGATATTCTAAATATCAGAAAAATTCCATATAATTTATGTAGCTACTCCCCCTCGAGGAAGGGAGCTTAACTCCCACCTGAGTGAGGGCCACCCTTAGTGATTTATGCACACACACACACACACACACACCCAAAAACACCTGTGCAATTATCTATGAAATAAAGAAAAGGCACTTCTCAGGAAGAAAAATAGTGAAGTCAGTTAACTACTAAATTGAGATCTTAAAAGATTTTACCTACAGAAAAAATAGATATTCTTTTAAAAAAAAAAGGGGGGGGCACCTGGGTGGCTCAGTTGTTTAAGCGACTGCCTTCGGCTCAGGTCATTATCCTGGAGTCCCAGGATCGAGTCCCACATCAGGCTCCCTGCTCAGCAGGGAGTCTGCTTCTCCCTCTGACTTTCCCCCCCTCATGCTCTCTCTCATTCTCTCTCTCAAATAAATAAATAAAATCTTTAAAAAAAAAAAAAAGAAATAAAAAATAGATACATTTAAATAGCTAACTCTAAAACCACTGGACCAGGAAAGTAACATGGTTTGGCAAACACAATGGATTTGGAGTTAGAAGATTTGGGCTGCAATCCTGGCTCCACCAATTCTATTTTGGGTTACCCTTTGGGTAAATTACTCAAACTCTATGAAACACAGGTTCCTTAACAGTAAAACAAAGATAAAACAGCTGGCCTGAACCCTCAAAGGGGTTCAACAGAATTATAGTATTTATGTACTGTCACAGTTGTTAGAAATTTGGGAAAGTCTCCAAAACATCATTTTTTCCCCAAAACATCATTTTAAAGATTTACTTGAGAGAGAGAGAGAGAGACAGAGAGCAAGCATGTACATGTGGGGGAGGGGCAGAGGGAGAGAATCTCAAGCGGACTCCACACTGAGCGTGGAGACTGATGAAGGGCTCAATCCCACAACCCTGAGATCATGACCCTAGCCGAAACCAAGAGTCGGACACTTAACTGACTGTGCCACCTAGGCACCTTTCCAAAACATCATTTTAAAAAAGCTGTCAGGACCCAATATAAATTGATTTTGAAAATTCCAATAATAAGCTGCCCTCCTTAACTGATTTGTGGGGACCAAAGGACCCTTATCTATCTTAAACTGGACTATCAACCACCTCTCTTTGTTTTCCTTTCCTTATAAGGATTCTTGGGGAAATGGCTCATAATACTCAGTTTTTAATGCCTTAACCTCTACTTACTTCTCACTGGAAGGCAAAGTAGTTTCTGCTTCTATTCTACTTACTGAAATTTTAAATGTAAAGGCATTAAAGACTACATAATGGACAAACCCATAATGGGCACTTCAGTTCTTTTATAACAACTTGTGATTTCTTCCATGGCTGCACTTTCAGGATTGGGGCCATGTCTGCTGGACCAAATCCAGCCACCTGATGCCTATATAGCAATGATCAGAGTTGACTTTAACTTTCTGGCAATGATACCACAACCCTATGTTTCCTAACCCAAAGTGTCCTTTACTTATAAATAGTAAACTCGCTTACTTGTTTTAAGTGAAAGATGGTAGACTTTTGTTTTCTGCAAACCCCTAAGAAGGAAAGCAAAACCACATGGTTTTAAGTAGAGGTTAAATATTTATGTAGAGGTTAACATAGGTTAAGTATTAAGATCAGAACCTTATCTCAACAGCTGGGCCACAATTTGATGATAACCAAACAAATTTAACATGTGCCAATCACAAAGAGTGATGACTGTCCATTTCAGGTAGCTTACATAGTCACATACTTTGCACAATGTGCATCATCTCATTATGCTTTATTTAGGAATTCTAAGAAAAGGTTGGCTCCAAAGAGAAAGGCTACAAGGAGGATAAAATGAACACAGAGAAATGCAGAGATAAGAGAAAGTTAAGACCCTGAGTCCTGTTGACTTCATTTCAATAGGAACATCCAGCAATGCCTAAAGGGACCTACCACTCAGACTTAGTTACATAACCACTCTTCCCGCCCCTTTCTTTTTGAAGTTTTTCTTTTAAATTTTTATTTAAATTCCAGTTAGTTAACATACAGTGTAATATCAGTCTCAGGTGTACAATTTAGGGATTCAATACTTATATATAACACCTGGTACTCATACACTTCTTTGTGTAAGCTAGTCTGAATTATTCCTTTCATTCATTACTGAAAATTTCTGATTAATATTATGAATAATTTAGCAGTGTCTATCAATATTTCAACTTTGCATATTTCCTTTTTTATTTTTTTTGAGAGGCATGCACATTTTTTATTATGTTATGTTAATCACCATACATTACATCATTAGTTTTTGATGTAGTGTTCCATGATTCATTGTTTGTGCATAACACCCAGTGCTCCACGCAGAACGTGCCCTCTTTAATACCCATCACCAGGCCAACCCATCTCCCCACCCGCCTCCCCTCTAGAACCCTCAGTTTGTTTCTCTGAGTCCATAGTCTCTCATGGTTCGTTCTCCCTCTCCGATTTCCCCCCCTTCATTTTTCCCTTCCTGCTATCTTCTTCTTCTTTTTTTTTTTTTTTACCATATAATGTATTATTTGTTTCAGAGGTACAGGTCTGTGATTCAACAGTCTTACATAATTCACAGCGCTCACCATAGCACATATTATGCTGAGCAAAATAAGTCAATCAGAGAAAGGCATATTTCCTTTTTTTAAATATTTTATTTATTTATTTGAGAGAGAGAGTGTGAAGG